TTTGAGCATTAAATGCTTAGTTTGCTCAGATAGCATAGGGTTGGAAGTCCCTGTTACAATAGTTCCTTTATTTATATTGGTCAATGAAAGTATGTGCTTTTTGGCCTGAATTCTTCAGTTTTTTCCCCAACACCTGCATTTACAAATATAATCGTAAAGAAATTCACTATCATGAAGTTTACAAAAAAGAGCTTTCTTATTTAAGAGCTTTTCAAGTTAGCTAGAGGATCTTGCTGTTTCATGAAATTCAACAGAATATGATAGTCATGATAATTAGATTAGAAACTACAGTCTGAAAAAAGTATAAATTTATTTTTACAGTCAATGGATTTCTACATAATTATGGGTAGAATAAATTCAAGTGTTAAAACCTTTGATGTTTGGAGAGCAGTCCAGACATGGTGTTCTCTTCCCAATTAGCTATATTTCTCATCTATCACTTTTCATTTTGTAATTCTCCTGCCTGCATCCCTTGGAGACTTTAGAACCTTGGTCTTACCTGAGCTTCACTTTACTTTCATAGGTGTGTGTCTCTCCAGTTGCCACTGCATTTTCAACAGTTGGTGGGGGTCCACAGGACAGGGGTTCACAGACTGGATAAGGCTGGCTCCATGTCCCTTTCTCTCCACAAATGAGATCTGAACTGCCTTGTATGACATACCCAGACCTGCAGCTGTAAGTTATCACATTTTCCTTCAAAGAGCTGCTCTCACTGATGAATGCATTTGGTATCATTGGGAGAGAACCACAAGAAGTGTGTTCACAGTGTGGAAAGTCAGAGCTCCACTGGCCATTGGCTTCACAGGTGATTTCAGAGGATCCCAGGAGCGTGAAGCCTTTGAAACACTGAATCCAGGCTGCCTTCCCACAGCCAAAATCTGTCCCATTGATGGTTCCATATTGAATTACTGGTGTGGAACACCTGCAAGGCAGACAGGAAGGTGGGCTGCCACTCCAGGAGCCATTGGAGAGACACCTTCTTGAAGAACTTCCATGGAGCTTATAACCTGGAAAACACTGATACTGTATATGCCCCCCATGAAGAAAGGAAAAACCATTAGGGAAGCCGTGAGCAAGATCTTCAGGAGGTCCACAGTTGACTGGTTTACAGACAGGAACCTCTGCATCCCAGTTACCATCTGACTGACAAGTGAGCTTTGGAGCACCATGCAACACATAGCCCTCCCAACAGTGGAATACCACTTCCTTCATGAAGTCGTAGTCCAGGCCCTCCATCACCCCATTTGCCACTTGTGGTGGGGTGGCACATCTGACAGGTACACAGTCAGGAGTAGCTCCACTCCAACTTCCATTGGCAAGACAAACATGACTCCCGGCTCCCTCAAGCAAGAAGCCTTCATTGCAAATGTATTCAATCTCCTTTTGGAATGTATGCTCGTCTCCTTTCACCTGGCCATTGGCTGGGACTGGGGGTGAACCACAGTCCACAGGAATGCAAATTGGCTCATTCCCATCCCAATTTTTATTTTCTTGGCATGTTCTTGTCTCAGTGCCATTCAGCACATACCCAGGGTCACACTCATAGTACAACACGCTCAGGTATGTGTAGTTGCTTCCTTTGATGGATCCATTCATGACTGGATTTGGTTTTTTGCATGAAATGGCTTCACAGTGTGGGGAAGCACCACTCCACTTTCTGTTCTGTAGACAAAGTCTTACATCGGAGCCCACTACAACGTGTCCCACTTTGCAGCTATACTGCACTGCACTTCCCATGGTAGTCTCTGTAAAACGCAAAAAGCCATTTTCAGGAGCAATAGGCAAGTCACATTCAATCGAAATGCAGGAAGGTGCACTGCCATTCCAAGTTCCATCTTCCTGGCAGATCAGCACAGGGTTCCCCAAAAGTTCATATCCTGGATTACAGGTATAGGAAACCATGGTGCCATATAGAAAGTTTGACGAATGTGTCGCAGGAGACTCCTTTGTATTTTCCCAGGTTTTAGTCACTGCTCCCAAATGATGAGGAGGGTGAGGAGTCAGATATGGAACTTCCATCATGTCATCTTCTTGCTCAAAATATCCCTGGCCATCTTTGACTTTAGTGCAGTCTCCAAAATCTATGTGAGGAGGGAGGCCACAGTCTATAGGTACACATGTTGGAATGGAGCTCGACCACCCTGACTCTTCACAGGTCTGCATGGCGTGACCAGCTACCTGAAACCCAGGGAAGCAGCTGTAGATGATCATGGCACCATAGCTGTAATCTGCACCTTCTACGAAACCATTTTCAATGGGTTGTGGGGGATGACAGTGGATGGCATTGCAAGACGGGGCATCCACATCCCAATCACCTGTCTCTAAACAGGTCAAGGCTTTGGGACCTTCAAGCCGGAAGCCTCGGTCACAAGAGTATGTAATGGTCTGTCCAAAGTGTAGGTTTGTGTAAGAGAATTTGCCATTCAAAATCTCCTTGGGCTTTGGGCACTCAATGGGTTTACACGTTGGTTTTCCTCCAAGCCAGTGACCATTTTCTCCACAAAGGGTGGTTGCATTTCCCACCAACTCAAAGCCTGGCTTGCAGGTATAGAGAGCTGTGCTGAGATAGGCAAGACCCTGCACATCAATGATGCCGTTGAGGATTTCCTCAGGTTGGGGGCATTCTACTGGAACACATTCTGGCAGTGGAGAGCTCCAGGTGCCATCAGCTTGGCAGAGGGTGGTGGGATCTCCTCTTAGAAAAAACCCATCTACACAAGAATACTTAACAGTACTTCCAAAATGAAGAGCAGAAGAAGGAGCAGCGACTCCGAAGGAAATTAGGGGAGGTGGCAGGCAAAGAACCATCTTACAAACAGGGAAAGAGTCATTCCACTGCTGGGATGGCAAGCACTTTAGGACGGCGGGGCCTTGTAGGGCATGCCCTTCTTTGCAGGAAAACATCACCACTCCCACCTCGGTAGTCAACTCCTTCAGTACCAGCTGGTTTTCCAAGAGGGGTGGCTCTGGGCACTTGGCAGGCACACACTTTTGGTTTGGTTTCTTATTCCATTTGCCAGATTTCTGGCATGTCCAAGAACTATCACCAATAAGCTCATAGCCCTCATTACAGAAAAACTGAACCTTGGACCCTACTTCAAAATTTTCTCCTTTCATGAAGCCATTCTGGATGGGAGGAGGTTTCCCACAGTTGAGAGGCATGCACGACAGGGGGGATTCACTGTGCCAGTGGCGATTTGCTTGGCAGACAAATACAGGACTTCCAACTGACTTATAGCCCGGGTTACACTGATACCTCACTTCACTCTCAAAGATCCTGCCAGTTGTATGCTGTGTAATAGGGAGAAAACAAGTGAGTGCAATTCATATAGCAGATGATACAATTCACTAAATACTTGGATAGTAAACAGCAACTAAACTAAAAGGCCTACGTTAAAATGAATCCATTAGGACTTACACAGATGAGTATTTATGTTTTTTCCAATAGGTCCACTCTATTTTTTTTTTAAATAAGTGCAAATGACAGAAGATCAAATTAGGTAGTCCCTCCTGCAGAAATGTTTATCACAGTGCTGAACCCATAGTAAGTAGATCAATAGTCTTTATATTGATTAATGAATTGGTCAGGCAATACTGAAAATTATAAATTACTAAGTAAGTTCAAAAAAATCTTGTTGACCAAAGAAATGCTAGTAAAGGAAACACATAAACAAATGCATATGTGTTTGTTAATGTTGTTAGAGCATAAAAAAGGCAAATAAATATTTTTCATGGATATATCTTGAGAATACTATCACAGTTTTGTTTTTATTCTTAATATACTTTTAAAAAATTATTGCTATAAGAATGAAAAATAAAAAACAATATTCTAATCTTTTAAAACGAAACAATTAAGATTTCTGATCTCAAAATTCAAATAAGTAGGCATATAATATAATAAAGGCAGATGAATTAATTATGAAAATATAAAAGTGATTATCATGATTCTGTTACTGATAATGGTAAATTACAGCTTCAGTGCCTCAGTGAACCTAGCAGTACTTGGAATTAATTATTCATTTTGTTTGTTTATGTATTGCTTGAGTGCCCCCATGCACGCAGCACCATGCCATCACACACCTAATTTGTGTTGTTAAATACTGGATCGTCAATGTTCAGAACTACACCTGACATCTAGTAGGAGCTCTAGAAATATTCATTAAATTAATAAATGAAGAATGGCTCCTTACATATACACTATACCCTCTTCGCATAAAGAGCTGATAAATTTAAGCAAAAGCCTTAAATAAAAGGCTTTTACTGTTGTTTTGTTGTTGTTTTTGAATATGAAGAGAAAAGGTAGTACTTATGTATGTGTGGGTTTTTAAAAAGTGTTTAATTAGAATATTTTCTATTTAAAATGGCCCTTGATTTGGGGGAATAGATTCTCATTCCTGTTTTCTTGATGGATTTATTGAGAAGACACGTTAGTATGAAAGCAGGACATGTTTCGGTTGGACTTAACTCTTTGTCCATCAGGGCGAAATTACTCTCAGGTCTACAAAAAAAAATTGCAAAACTGCATCTTAGTTGGTTTACCCTATATTTTGTCTAAAAATTTAAAAAATGATAATAGATATCTCTAGGCCCCATTTAGCCCTAGATTTCTATAAAAAAGTATATATCCATCTTGAAATAACTTCTATAAAGCAAAATAATATTATATTAAAACTGGTTTACTCTAACTTCATATTTTGGGCTAAGCTATTGCCACAAAGTGCTTAGAATGCCTATATGCTAGTAAAATGAAGAAAATTATATATTGAAAGGATTCATAATCATCTTTATTAATTTTTCTCTAATCTTCACTACCTATAGACTTCAGCCACTTTTGTTCTTCAATAACTAAACTGTTCAATGTCCCTGCTTCTCTGATCTGGTAAGTGATAAAAGCCATGGACCATTTGCAAATTAGTCTCTTACCTCCAGAAAACCATTTTCCACCTTAGGAGGTTCGTTGCAAGATACAGGGTGACATGTAGGCATGGGGCTACTCCACTGTCCTGTGGCTTCACAGGTGCTCTTTTTCTCCCCTTTGATGTAGAACCCCTTCTTGCAGCTATAAGCCACCATGGCTCCAAAACTGTAGTTTGATCCACTCGCATAGCCATTCGTGATGCTCGGTGGCTCTCCACACCGTACCGGGATGCACTGGATGGACATGGGGGAAGGGCTCCACTGCCCACCTCTCATACATTCAATCTTTGCTGAGGTGTTTAGCACAAAACCTTCCATGCATTTGAAGCTCACAACTGAGCCAGCTGCAAATTTTGCTTTGCTCACAGATTCCAAGATGCTGTAGGAAACAGATGAGGGTTTTTCACAGAAATGAGCTATACAGCGGGGTATGTCCTGACCTTCTGGGGGAACCCACTTGCCCTGGGCATTGCAGAGAAGCTGGGAATTGTCTGCCAGACTGTAACCATCTGAGCAGTAGTAGAATGCAATGTCTCCAAACAGTCGATGGGCGGTTTCTGGAGAGGCGTGGTCCACGTGGGGGGGCTCATCACAGGAGACAGCCAGACACTGCTGGTTACTTCCACTCCACTTGCCGTTGGCCAAGCATTCAATGGTGTCAGGGCCGGCAAGGGTATATCTGTGAGATTGGGGAGAAGGAAACAATGATTAAGCACAATATTTGAGAAAAGGTGCTTGCATTTTCTTATTCTGTTTTTATTTTTTTATCTTTCCAGCAATGACTTTCTTTTATTCTTTAAAATATTTACTATTTGAACATTGAGCTTATTGATCAAATGCTTTTCATCTGAGATATGTAATTACGTCTTGATATTAATATTGTTTGTTCAGAAAGGAAAATGAATTTAAGACTTTTTCTATTTAAGGAACTCTAATAATTATTACACATTTTTAAAAATAAAAATCAGGAGTCAGCTATAATCCTATTTGACTCAATTCAAAATTGGAACTCCATCTGTCTTTAGATGATTTTAGCTTGTGATTTTAGCA